TTTTATTAATTTTTGATGCCACAGCTGCTCACAAGGAAAAATATCATTCAAACATCTATTAACTCAACCGGTGCCTATATGGCAGTTATACCTGGTGGCCTTCCCTGTGAGCTGCACCTGCTAGATATAGCAGTCAAGACTTCCATGAGGTAAGAATAGAATGAATGGTTGCAGGCTGGGATTTGTGAGTTTATACCATCAGGACCACTGAAGTGAATGTTATTTACAAAAGTCTGCAAGTAGGTGGCTTCTGCTTTGGAAAAATAACACCAGAAACCATCTTCAACAGCTTCAGATAGACTGGGATTGTGTGCCAACAGAGTCTTGAGGAGGAAGATGAAATCCCTGAAGGCAGTGATGATGACATCGGTTCAGAAGTCAGAGAAGAGCATCTGCAGGCAGCTCTGAGATGTTTCTATGCTGATATTGCGGAGAGGTTGGACTTTGAAAGGTTACAGGAATCAGATGATGGATGATGAATGAATATACTAAAATGGCCTATTTTGAAATGAAAACACAATTTTTTCTAGTGACTTTTTATTTGTTGATTTCAAAAATTTTATTTGACATTATTAAAAATTTTGTCACATCTTAAGATTTATGGAAGCAATACAATATCATCAACATCTTGTTTTTGTACTTTAAGGCCTTAGAATATTTTTTACTAATTTCTAGCTCTTTGTGCATGCGTATACTTTAATTTCAACATGGTGTCTTGTTTCCACTACGAGTCAGTTCCATTCACCATTGGTTTCACCATTTGTTTAGGAAAACACCTAAATGAAGTTCCCATGAGGTCACTTATATTCCAAAATTTTTTAATCCATGGGACAGGAAAAAAATTTGAAATTAAAATCAGCAACATGTAAAAATTGGTATAGTACACTAATGAAAATAACATGCAAGGGGGCTGTGCAGTTTGTAAAACACATGTTATTGTATACATTAAGCCATTTCTCTATGTTTTCCCTTTTATGGACCCCCTTGACAAAAGTTCTTTGATGCCCTTCAACTTAACTCACCAGATCACAATATTATAGTTAACATCACGTTCTCATTTGTATCAGTGTTCTATGATGATTCAATAGAAAATGCCACCAATAATTCAACTTGTCCTGAAAGTTCTCAATCTTGTTTTAACATGTTGAGTTACAATGTTTCTAGTTAAGACTACCATTTGCAAATACCTGTTTTTGCTCTGGAAACATAAGTTCATTGCATTAAAAAAAGATTCTTTTATAAACTGGTCTATAAGAAGGTTTTCATGCTCGGGCAATTTCTTTCTCTTACTAGAGAATTGAATTTCACAGCAGTATCACGATTTCATTCTCTTTCAAAAGCAAATGCTGTCATTTCTCCAGTTCATTAAGCTTTCCAGCACTCATATTTTATATGTACCAGTCATGGCTGGCTTCATTATTGTGCCTTAAGTTGCCATCTTTCTGTACACACATTGTTTGTCCAGGTGTTCTTCCCATAATATGGAAGAAGAAAAAAAAAAAAAAAGCACTCTCTTATTTTTCCTTGAAATACATAACTCTATTTTTTAGAGATACAAAATTTGTTTTTGTTTTAACTCTACAGTAATAAAGTATCAGTGACTATGTGATGGCAAATAACAATTTGATTCACTGTTGGGATTACAGCAGGAGGATGTGAAGACTTTGACTGAGATAGGGGGGCAGATTCCTTCCCAAAGAGGGCACCCCAATCAGATTTAGTGGATATCTGCCTGGTGGGAACACTGTCCTGCTATTGTCAAAAAAAGCTAGAACTTAGAAACTTATAAGAAAAACCATAATTGCCTGATTGTTTAAATGTTAGTATCTAACTCAAAATTTATTAAAATAGCAAGTGGGTAATAGCATTCCAGCCAAGCCAAGTTAGTCTGCAAGCCGAGTACAACATGTGGGCTGCCTATTTATAACTTCTTGGGATGCCAAGTGGAACCGTAAAGTAATGCATGCTTTAACTTTGTTTGGGGATTCCCTAGGTAGTATAAACGGTTAACACACTCAACCATTAACCAAAAGGTTAGAGATCATCCAGAGGTGCCTCGGAAGAAAGATCTGGCAATCAATTTCAACCTCTGAAAACCCTACAGAACACACACACGGGTTGCCTGGAGTCAAAGCATCTTGACAGTAACTAATAAATAACTTGGTATTAATCTCTGAGAACTAAGAAGAGAAAAGATACAGTAATATCACTATCCATCTGTGGAGTTTGAAACACAAGTGTGGTACTGACTTTGGAACTCTTCTGATGAGGTAGTGTGGTACAGTGGAAAGAACACCTGCCTTAGCTATCTGTTGTTGTATGCCATCAAGTCAGTTTCAAATCGTAGTAACCCTGCATACGGTTTCCAAAAGCATTTGGTGGGTTTGAACTGCTGACCTTGCGGTTACCAGTCCAGTGCTTTTCCTACAGTGCCACACCAGGGCTCTTCAGTTACCTAGTGTTGCTGTAACAGATACACCACAAATGGGTACTCTGAAAAGCAGAAATTTATTTTCTCACAGTTTAGGAGGCTTATAGTGTGAAAGTGTGGTGCTGGCTCTACAAGAAGGCTTTCTCGGTGTGTGGCTCTGGAAGAAAGTCCGTGTCTCTCTTGAGCTTCTGTTCTTAGGTGATCTCCATGTGGCATGGCATCTCTCTTCCCCCATCTCTGCTTACTCACTTGTTTGTTTCATCTCTTTTATATCTCTAAAAAAATTATGTTAAGACACACCCTACACTGATACTGTCTCATTAGTATAACAAAGAAAAACCAATCTCAAATGAGATGATAACTAGAAGTATGGGGGTTAGGATTTACAATATACATTCCCTTCTTGGAGTCAGGTGTTTTTTGGAGAACTCTGAGTATTTCACTTATTAGGTTGAGTGATCTGAGATTCCTCATCCAAAAACTGGGATAATAAAATTGCCCTTTAAGTTTATTTAAATGATTAGAGATGTTGTTGTTAAGTGCCGTAGAGTCGATTTCGACCCATAGTGACCCTGTATAGGGTTTCCAAGAAGCAGCTGGTGACCTTGAACCACCAAACTTGCAGTTCAAATAACTTTGAAGTCTGACACATTATCCCACAGCACCACACCAGGATTAGAGATGGAAGTATGCAAATTTCTTAGCATAGAATCTGGCATTTTAAATGTGTTTCTTAAATGGTAGCTAATGACTCTCACTATTAAATGCAAAATATAAATTTCCAACATTTCATTGTACTCTCCATCAATACTCACTGCACATTGTACTACTGCCTGCCCCTGTTCCTGTACTGGTCTATTGCCCCACACGCCACATCACCACACTTGTTGCCTTACCCATGCCTGTCCCTGTCCATTCAGTTAACTCCTTTAAGATGTTACCAAGGGGTCACCTCTTCCTTGAGTGCCGCCCTTCTCCAGGCTTGTATGGGCACCCCCTTCCTACCTGCCTTGTTTGCCTCAGTCATAACATTTATCAAGTAGTATCTAATCTGCCAGCTCCCATGGGACAGAAACTGGGTCAGTCACCCCTCTCTCCCTAGCTCCTGAGTGCAATGCCTTTGAATAAACCATGTCATTAGGGCTGAAAAAATTAATAAAGGAAAGAATGCATGAATGATTGAGGTAGCTGGAGACTGGAGTGGCCGGGAATCATTCATTGTCTGCTTCCTTCTAACTTTACAAATGCAAAATTTTGGTTGCTGATTATCTGCCTCCCCCATGCCTTACCAATTGTCACTCCAGCTTCTGACTCTGCCACTCCCCCAAAACAAATGGAGATTTTCATTCTGAGTCTCAAGGGTCTTACATATCTCCTCCTGGATTTTGAAAGTGGAGACAAGAGGGTTCTTTTTAAAGGTAATTGTTGTTGTTGTGTTCATTACTGTCAAGTCGGTTCCAACTCATAGAGACCTTGTATGGGGTTTCCAAGGAGCATCTGGTGAGTTTGGACCATTGACCTTGTTGTTCAAACAGACTTAGAGTCCAGTGTATTTTCCTACAGAGCCACACTGTTGTTGTTGTTATGTGCCGTGGAGTTGGTTCTGACTCATAGAGACCCTGCACAGGGTTTCCAAGGCTGGAAATCTTTTCGGGAGCTGAAAGCCTCATCTTTCTCCCGCAGAACAGATGGTAGTTTCGAACTGCTGACCTTGCAGTTCGCAACCTGATTTGTAACCACTATGCTACCAGAACGCCACACTAGGCGAAGGAAGAGGGAACAATTACACAAGGTGTTACCTTCACTCTCCGATTGGTAACTTCTTAGCTAAGTGAGAAGAAAAACTGTTATGCAGCCAAGTGAGCTTGGTCCCACTGCCCATTGCTGTTGCATCAATTCATACTCATAGCCACTCCTGAAGGACAGAGTAAAATGTCCCCTAGGGTTTTCAAGGATATAATCTTTATGGCACTTGGCAACAACAACAAATCTTTATGGACACATACTACCACATTGTTCTCCTGAGGAGTGGCTGGTAGGTTTGAACCACCAAACTTTCAGTTAGCAGCTGCACCACCAGCATTTCTTGTGAGCTTGGTTGTTGTTGTTAAATGCCACCGAGTCATTTCTGATTCATGATGATCCTGTATAGGGTTTCTGAGGAGCAGCCAGTGGGTTTGAACTGCCAACCTTGTGGTTTGATGTCCAGTACTGACCCTACAGAGTCACACCAGGTTGGTAGCACTGCCTCTTAGCCTTCTTGCACACAAGTATTCATGGTTCTATATCAGAAGATGAAGCATTTTTTAGGACACGACTTTCTTTAGCATCTATAGTTCTTTGGAAAATGCACCCTTCATCCAGAAGGACACTGACCAGTGCTGGAGTACTTAGTGAGAGGCAGATGGACTGGACTTCAGCCCCTGTATGGCCTCTGTGCAGGCAACTTTATGAAGTGAAATATCTATGTGACCTGTTAAACAACCTGAGGTAAGAAAATGTGTCCTCTCATAATATATAATATTATGAAAACATGATAAGTAATGTGCAAGTATTTGTTCTTTTCTAGGAACATGGGTGACATTTGGAGGTCAAATTTCAGATGAGGTGAGTTTCAGCTTCCATCGTGTTGATCAAAGGCAGTGTACTGGGAGCTGTACAGCCAGCAGTATTCTTTCTGGGACCCTGACATTTTACAAGGATAATGTCTTAATCATAGTAAATGGTTAGGGTTAACGCAAAGATTATTTTCAATTTTGCCTGCATCATGTATTTTTCACATTTAGACAATTAATTGCCCTTGAGCCTGTTTATTTATTAGATATAAGGTCAACAGTTGGAGAATGAACCAGTTTGGAATTAATAGTCACTTTATGAAAAGATTTTTGTTGTTAATTTGGTTTGTTTAAATGTGTTAATCTCCATCTAGGATGACCAACATATCCCTGTTTGCAGGAAGCTTTCCTAGTTTTAGCACTGATAGCCCACATCATGGAACCTTCTAAATTCTGAACAAAACCAGACAGCTGGGTACCCTGGCTTGGACAAGTGAATCCAATCTCTGTGAGCCTCATTCCTTCTAGGATAATAATTGAGCAGTTGTTGAAAGAATTCATACATGTCAGACATTGAAATCGCTCTGTGACTTGTAAGTAGCAAACATTCAATAAATGGCAGCCATAATCATTATTTAAAATCAGGGAAAGACTGTATCCTTCCACCATACTTATTCCACCTGTATGCTGAGCATATAATCTGAGAACCTGGATTATATGAAGAAGAATATGGCATCAGAATTGGAGGAAAACTCATTGACAGCCTTGTATTATGTAGATAATACAACCTTGCTTGCTGAAAATGAAGAAGACTTAAAACACTTACTGATGAAAATCAAAGACGACACCCTTCAGTATGGCTTGCACCTCAACGTAAAGAAAACACAAATCCTCATCAGTGGACCAGTTACTAACATCATGATAAATGGAGAAAAGACTGAAATTGTCAAATACTTCATTTTGCTTGGATCCTCAATCAGCACTCATGGAAACAGCAGTCAAGAAATCAAATGACATATTGTACTAGGCAAATCTGCTTGCACAAGACCTCTTTAAAGTGTTCAAGGGCAAAGATGTCAGATTAAAGACTAAAGTGTACTTGACCTAAACCATGGTATTTTCAATCACCTCATATGCATGTGAAAGTTGGACACTGAAAAAGAAAGACCATAGAAGAATTGATGCATTTGAGTTTTGTTGTTGGAAAAGAATATTGAGAGTACCATGGGCATCCAGAAGAACAAACAAGTCTGTGTTGGAAGAAGTACAGCCAGAATGCCCCTTAGAAGCAAGCATGGTGAGACTTCATCTCTTATACTTCAGACATATTAACAGGAGGGGCCAGTCCCTGGAGAAGAAAATTATGTTTGGTAAAGTGGAGAGTCGGCAACAAGCTAGATTGACACAGTGGCAGCATCAATGGACTCAAATGTAACAATTAGGAGAATAGCTCAAGAATTGACTCAACAGCACCTACCAACAACAGCATAGTCGTTATATTTCATGTAGAACTTGTTGAAATCATTTTTCTCATTGTTTTTAAGGAGAATTTTAATGACATGAGTGATATGCAAGCATTGAGTGTCAATAAGTGCCCTGTGCCGTGCCTTCAAGTCTTTCCAGTCATCCCCTGCCTACCTGCAACACCACTGAGCAGCAGACACACTCAGTGGGAGCCAGTACCACTGTGCAATTCACTAAGGAGCTTTACTAACATGTTTATCTACTAACAGTGGCTACATCTGTAGAATGAAGGCCATAGCAAATACTCAGCAGGATCATGGTTAAGATTAATGAGATGATGCCGATAAAGTACTTAGCCTGGTGCCTGGCCCAGAACAGTCTATAAAGGAAGCTCTTATTACCATCCCTAAGGGAAAGTTCAGGGGAATGGAGGCGCTTTTCCACAGCTCCCAAAGTTGCCATTGTGATTTAACAGAAATGGGGGAATGGCCGTAGCTGCATACATATTCTTTGTCTAAATGCCTCTTAGCAGTGTTGGACATAGGTTATCTTAGAGGAAATGTTGGGTTTCCTGGAAAGCAGACTGTGAGATGGAGATTAGCATACAGAAAATATATTGGAAATGCTACTATCAACACCTATGTAGGCAGGGAAGAAAGTGGCATTGGGCAAAAGAAGGTAAGTTGAGTTGAATATAAAGAGAGTCCTTTGTTGGAGGAAAAAGAGGGATGAACAATTACTCAAGGTCTTACCGTCACTTTCAGAACTGGTGACTTCTTAGCTAAGTGAGAGGAAGAATGGGCGTGCAGTCAATGGGCTTGACCCCGTTGCCCATTGTCACTGAATTAATTCTGACTCATAGCCACCCCATAAGACAGAGTAGAACTGTAGATATTTCCAAGGCTGTAATCTTTAGGGATTTACAGACTGCCACACCCAGGGAGAGTTCTGATGCTGAGATGGCCCTACAGAGTTGTTTCAAGTTGAGGCAAGAGGACAGGGCATCGTGTCCCCTGCATTGATCAGCCATTGGATAGGGTTTACTCCAGGAAGTAGGTCTGAGCTCAGGCAAGGCGCCTGTCTTCAGCCAAGTACAGTTTCTGAAGAGTGCTGACAGCTGATGGGCACACTCACAGCAGTGAGGGGTCTAATCCTCCTGTTCGGAAGGAACACCTGAGTGGAACATCACAGTCTACCACAGAGTACCTGATAGGCATCAGTAAAGGTGTGTGGAGGAAGTGCAGAGGCAGGGCACAGATAGTGAAGCCAAGGCCAAAGCCTTGAAGTCAGGTACAAAATAGATAATGAGAAGGGAACGAGACTGCTTAGTGTGGTGCATGTTAAGTACCATGGAGTCGGTTCTGACTCATAGTGACCCTACACAGGGTTTCCGAGGCTGCAAATCTTAACGGGAGCAGAAAGCCTCATCTTTCGCCTGTGGAACAGCTGGTAGTTTCGAACTAACCTTGAGGTTAGCATCCTGATTCGTAACCACTACGGTACCAGAGCTGCTAGGAAAGGGGAAAAGACAAAAACATCCTCCCTTTTCAGCAAAGGACTAAATAGGAACTTAACATTTTCCCTTTAGTCTTCTGTTCTCCCCTTAATGGTGTCTGCTGCAATGAGCCCAGCTTCCCAGATCAGTGTGCCAAGCTGAACCCTGAAACAAATCATCTCAGAACTAAAAACTACAATAAAGTTGTCATGCATTGCTGTGGAGGAGTTCACCTCAGACGCAGATAAGACAAATAGCTATTTTCCTTCCAGGAAGCTGCTTTTACCTTACTGCAGAGGGAATACCATCAAGGAGAAGGAAGGGGCTGAACAGTGGCATGACAAGTTAGGTTGTTTGAGCTCAACAATTTCCACAATTTCCAAAATTTTCAAAAATGCTGGCCAAGAGCAACAACTTCACCTCTCCTGATTTCTCCTGCTTTCTTTATGAATTAAGATAAGCTCAGAGTACCAGGCAAGTGTGAAAATGGGACACCTAGGATGATCACAACATATGTGGTGAATGATAAAATCATCATCTGTGCCTTGGGAGGTGGTGACTTCACTGGTATTGGGAGAGTTCAAGCATGTTTTACACAATCACTTGGCAGGGATATTGCCAACATTAATCAAACACCAAATTAGATATACCTATGAGGTACCTCCCAAAGATGATTTTGGCTTCATTATAAAACCAAAACAGGTTTTTTTTATATGAATGATGATTTTTTTTAAATAATGTTAAGATTATATTACCATTTTATAACTCTTAATTTTCAGTGTTTTGTTTACATCTTCCCATCTGTAAGGTAGTTAGGGTAACTTCAATTGCAAGTGTCAGTAGACTCAACTAAAATTAGCTTAACCAGTAATGAAGAAAATCATGTTGACTCTTAAGCTATAAATGTAGAGGTGGAGGGAGCATGCTTCAGAACTGACTCAATCAATGCTCCCCACTCCATTTCCCAGTGCCATGCCTCCTTTGTGCATCAACTTCATCCTCTAGAAGTAAGATAGTTGCAGGAATTCTGGGCTGTTAGAACAATGAGTCCAGAAAAAGAGAGTGTTGCTTCTAGAAACTGTAAGAACAAAGGAAAGTATTTCCAGAAGTCCTCAGCAAATCTCTCCTTGTTTGTCATTGTCCCAAATGAGTCATATGATATTTCCTGAATCCATCAGACCCTTCATTGGAAGGAGATAAGGCCAGCTTCCTCTACCTCCAAGCCTTTGGGCTACCCAGGAGAGAAGAGAACTGAATAGAACAATTCCCATTTTGCAGATGAAGAAACAAATTCACAGAGGTCAAATGATTTGCACAACTTTATTTATTTAGTAAGTGGCAGACAGAAGTCAGGTCTTACAACTTAGTTCCATGTTTTTGTTTGTTTGTTTTATTCATTTTTCCACATGTCTTTTAGATCTTTCAATCCAATGATTGGAAGATGTCTCAGCAATCATTTACTCCAACTCTCTATCCAGTACTTTCCATTTTAAAACTTTTCTCAAATTAAGATATAATTATTCACATTCTGAATAATAATCCACTGCTATGTCAGGTGTCATTCATACAGGATATACAAGAATAAGCACAATACTTTTCAAAACATTTGTTGTTGTTAAGTGCCGTTGAGTCAGTTCCAACCCATAGCGAGCAGCTGTGAACCACCGACGTTGCAATTCAAACTGACCTTGCAGTGCAGCACTTTAACCCACAGCACCACACCAGGACTCAAAACAGGATGTCCTGGTCATCATGGGGAAGCCATACTTTTCTTAAATTTTCATCTGTATTTAGGATAAATATCATAGTGGTAACAAATTAAAAGCAATAATAGTGTTTATGTTGCTATTATTCTAAAGGATTCGTATGGATCCCATTTTTCTAGCCTAACAGTTTTCTTGATAGGATAATTTTTTTTTAAACAGTAGAAAAATATTTTATCTTGGGAATGCTGATAAAGCAACTTTAGCCACAATCAGAAGCTTAATGGAAAAATCTATTGTAATTATTTATGAGGTGTATAATTTTCCAATTGTCTAAAAAGTCTATCAGCAAAATTTAAAAATGGCACCTCTCAACTGCCGTTTATCACCATCCCTCTATAACTCTCCCTCAAGCAGTTGTTCGGAGCTGTCCCTTTACTCCTCTGTCATACACGCTCAGCAGCACAAAGGAAAGGAAGGAGGCAAAATCTGCAGACTGAAGAGAGAGGAGTCCGGTCCCTGGTGAGTCTTCACGCTCGCTTTGTCTCCTCTGTGTCAGTTCAGCTTGCCTCACTGTCTATCATGGGACCTGGGATTTTGCTGAACTGCTTCTCAGGAGCTTTACAACCATCACAAGTCTGTCTAATCTTTGGTTCATCAGCACAAGACTGATGAAGCCTAAAGGAAAAAAGCCACAAGAGCTCTCAAATCAAGAGTCACCCAACTGCCAGAACCTATTGGCTTAGAGAAAGTTGAAGAAGAATGGAGTCACTTGTGATACAAATGAGCCTGTTTGTCAGAGATTATGATGCCACAGAGAATGTCACCAAGCCAGGTCGTCTGTGTTCCTGACAGCATTGAAGCCAATCACTTAAGGCCGGGTCTATGTCTGAAGGACATATATATACTGGCTGAGTCTGTCTTATTTCTCTTTCTTCATTACAAATAAGAAAATCAAGGAGTGGTTAGTGAGATTTCAGTGTTCTTAAAAAACCATTGTCAGTGATTCTAGAAGTAGATGGCACCCGACTACCACTGCCAACTCTTCTGATCAGGGCCACAATAGATGAACCCCGATAGATCAGGAGAAAATTGCAGAACAGAACTGAAATGTTTAAGAAGTCCAGATTTCTTGGTCCAACTGAGACTGGAAGACTCCCTGAGACTATTGTCATGAGACATTCTTTAACCCTTGAACTGTCTCCTGAGGTCAACATTTAGCAAAAGAACAGATTAAAATAAAAATTTTAAGTGTTACCTCTGAGGACAGAGCTCCCTTATCATACATGAGACCAAAAGGTCAACAATAACTCTGAAGCAATTACTCTACAGCGAGGCAGGGAAACTAGAGTACTAGAAATGGAACAAGTAGAATGCAATTAAGGAGAATTTTGACACATTATGAAAAATGTAACCAATGACACTGAACAATTTATATAGAAATTGTAAAATGGGAACCTAATCTGCTATGTAAGCTTTCACCAAAAACAGCAAAAATAAATGAAATATTCTCATTAAAAAAAAAAAAAACAGAGGAGGATTCAGAGTTGATTCCCAAGTTTGGGGAAGCATTTGGCTTTTCTAACTGACCTGTGTGTGCTCTTATGCAGGTTGCTGAGCGGCTGATGACAATTGCTTATGAAAGTGGAGTCAATCTCTTTGATACTGCTGAGGTCTATGCAGCTGGAAAGTAAGTTGGTACCTGTTTGTGTCCCTCAGTTCAAACTTTAAGGCATATTTGTGGAACCAAGGAAATCTTCCCAACCTTTCTCACCATGCTGGTGAGAAAGTCTGCCTTTTCCCCATTCATGTGGATGGCTCCGCTTTTCCCCCTTCCCTTTACCACACTCACCAGAGTTGGGGGAAATTGACCATCTCTGACCTTCTCTCCATATGGATTGGAGGGGGCAGAGCCAGAAGCAATTGTCATGGTCTATTTGAGGGGTAGAGTCCTGGTATGGCACTGCAGGATAAGCACTGGATTAATACCCTCTAGGTTGGTACTTTTTAAAGTGTTGAAGAGCAAAGATGTCAACTTGAGGACTAAGGTGTGCCTGACCCAAGCGATGGTATTTTCAATAACCTCATATGCATGCGAAAGCAGTGAATAAGGAAGGCCATAGAAGAATTAATGCCTTTGAATTGTGGTGTTGGAGGAGAATACTAAAAGTGCCATGGGCTGCCAAAAGAACCAATAGATCTGTTTTGGAAGAAGTGCAGCCAGACTGCTCCTTAGAGGGCAAGATGGCTAAACTTCGTCTCTCATACTTTGGGCATATTGTCAGGAGGGAACAGTCGCTGGAGAAGGATATCATGTTTGGTAAGATGGAGGGTCGGAAAAAAAGAGGAAGACCCCCAACAAGATGGATTGGCCAGGTGGCAGCATTGATGGACTCAAGTGTGGCAGTGGTAGTGAGGTTGGCCCAGGATCGGACATTGTTTCGTTCTGCTGTGCATAGGGTCGCTATGAGTCGTTTCTGACTCGATGGCACCTGACAACAACAACAACAACAGGTTGGTAGTTCAAACCTCCCAGCTGCTCCTCAGAAGCCTTTTCAGGGTCACTGTGATTCATGTGAGGACTGACTCGATGGCACTTAACCACAACATAAGGGGTCAATGTGGCTGGGACCAGAGTGGTGGCTGTGGAGATCAAGAAATATTAGTTGAATATATGAATGAGCAGATGAGCCGATCCCAGCATACTCATTCAAATGCTAGTTGCATTATTTCATAACCACATCTCATAGTTCCTCAGCCTTCAATGAAACTGGGGCAACCACCCTGCAGGCTTGTCCCTATCCCTAGCAATAAAGTGGATCAGAGATTAAAGAGCTCTCCAAAGATGCACAACAATCCAATAACTTTTATAAAAGGGCATTTCAGACCACAATCTGAAGAGATAAAGGACTGAAGACAGCTTTGCTTCTTTTGTTTGAGGTGTCACATCTAGATGCAACATTCCCATGGAACTAGGAGCAAGTTTGGGGCTCAGGCCAATACACATGGCTGAGGTGTCCTCAGGACCAGACCTCAAGGTCCATATCCCCACCTACAGATCATGGCATAACAAGCTCCCTGGCCTCCTACATGAACCTTAATGGATGGTTCCCAGAACCTAAGGAAATGTAATAGCTGGACAGCTGTTTTAGCAGGTCTGCAATTTCCTAACGGGACTGTGGAACATAATCACCTGCAGGCCTAATTTCCCACCTTCGAGGTGAGAATTACAATCAAGCTGTTGAATTTGCTGAATCAGATTCATCTGTGTCCTAAGTGCATTTTATTTGCCTAGGTTTCCTCCTTTATCAAGGGCAGGCCTGTTTTTAAGAACTATCAAGGAGGTTCAGAGTCTACATCCCTGATTTTTCTGTCGAATCTGAGGGAAGACAAAATCTTTAAGGCCTTGCTCCTTTCCACATCCTACCCATTCTCTGTGTTTTCTTCTTTTATTGAACCCTGCTTAGCACCAAAGGTGGCTTAGGGAAAAAAAAAAAAGGGGGGGGGTGCCTCGTGGTTAACTGGTGTGTTATTTTGAGTCCTATATGTATTCTGTGAGGGATAATCAGCTCTGATTCATTATTGATAAATTATCTTGTGTAACTGAGATACTGGTGTGGCACTGTGGGCTAATTCATTGGACTGCAAAGTCATTTGAACTGCAAGGTCGGTGGTTCTAGCTCACCAGCTGCTCCTTGGAAACCCTATACGGGGTCGCTATGGGTCAGAATCAACTCGAAGGCACTTAACAACAACAACTGAGACAGGTTTCCACTGCGAAATACGAGATTGCAAAGGCAATAGTTAGAAAGGGAGCAGGAACACACTGGGAGAGCCTTTTCTTTTCTTTTTTTGATTCCCTCTACCACAACCATCTGATAATGGGGACTTGCATGTTGCTATGATACTGGACAGGTTTTAGTGAAGCTTCCAGAGTAAAATGGGCTAAAACCCTGTGGGTCACAGAGATCAGATCACAGTCCAATCCTGTTGTACATGGGATCTCCAAGAGTCAGGGGCTGAATTGACAACAGCTAATAACATCACACTCTAACAATGGCAGAACTTTCAGTTAAGACTAATAATAATTAGTGTAGAAAATTTTGTAGAAAATGCATTAACCCTCATGGACAAAAATGCAAATTCAGTTGACTCTCCTGAGAGTCCAGTTGTTTCTCACAAAGTTGGTATTGCCCGGAAAGATATAGAAGAAAGTTTCAGTCCCCTTGAGCTTGGGGGCATCATGTCCCAGCTAGGGTAATTGGAAGGGGGAGAGGACAGCAAAGATGACTCCACTTCAGCCTCATGATCAGGAAGGATACTTCTCCATGTCTCCTTTAATCTTGCTCCTACAACAGTGTTTTTGAGACAAAGTTTGTTGCCGGAACTGATATTCTCTAGATGTGGGCCACTGCATTGGTAGTCCTGGACTTTGGGACATTTAAACCCACACAAAGAGTCTTCTTTTATCCTACAAGCACCCCTGGGAGTCACGATTTTCTGTCTAAACAGCGTGTGGTCTTATTTTCTTGTTCAGTCACAATTCGATGCCACAGTAATTAGAAGAAAAACCTTGACTCCTATTGGACACCACCAAGCAGGACATTTGCATATGGGCTCAGATGGTTCAAAATCACCAAAATTCCTTAGTATCAGGACTGCAGGCGGTCGGTCTCCTGCCAGGATGTCAGGATTTGGCAGGTGCTTCTGGAATGCTCTGAAGCAGGATTCTTCAGGCACAAGCAAAAACAGCGGAAACTCTGCTACCAGCCAAGAATGGCTTCTATTTTCAGGATATGTAGGCACTGAGAGTTCAAACAAGGAGTGGCTTGGATATTTTGGATTGACTCTCGCTTCCTAAGGACACTACATGCTAAGGCGTTATCTTTTTCTCCCTCCAGGGCTGAAGTGATACTGGGGAGCATCATCAAGAAGAAAGGCTGGAGGTATTATCAGCATAATCATTTTTTTTTTTTTTTTTTTGGTCTATAAAGAGTGCTATTGTTTTTTACCAGAGCAGGGGAAATAAAATCATATGTCACCTGACTAAAAGGCTTTTTTTTTTTTTTTAATCTACTCTTGATAAAGAAATGATTTATGATAGTTTGAAAATAATGTCAGCAAGTTCATCACTTGTGCTTCAGACATTATTGACTAGTCATTGATTACAATGAATTACCTACCATGGGGTTGAGCAGAGGGGGGAATACTCATGAGATATCAGTGCATAAAAGAAAGTAATATTTTCATGGCTTCTACTGCCATTTGTGGTGATTTGGTGAAGGAAGCAAGCTGACAGGGAGCTGGTTCACTAGATACACATATTTGTGTTCACTGTTATTTTATTAACAACTCCAGATGCAAAGAAATGATGAAACAAGAAGCCCTTGGGATAAACACCCCAAAGCTTTCTTGTCTGAACACAATTAACTAGTGTCTTTCCTTTGTGCCCAGAGGCCCTGTCTTCAGGGTATCTGCTTGCCTTGAGGGGCTGTGCTTGTCGACTTCTTCCCATCACCTTCTCTGGCTAAAGCCCTTGGTAATGAGAAATCCTATTTAGTATCTGTGTGGAGTGGAAGAAGGCCATATCCCTCCATTCCAATAAGCATATTAGCCATTACAACCACCTCTTCAACCATAGGTAGAGAATTAGGAAAAGGTTAGAAAAGGCCATTGCACAAGTTTGGGGAGCATCACTCCTCAGGAACAGCTGATGGCTACATAAATACCCCAGTTATTGTGTTGGTGAGGACACCTGTGCAAAGTGCTCTGTACCCATACTTATAATCTTAGCATGTTTGTTTGTTTGTGTTTAATGTAATCTAGGAAGCATGGACATTTTCAAAGAAAACAACTCCAGGCTGATTTTACAATGCCTTTGCACACTTCACTTTGTGAGGAGCAGCTACAAAGGCCGAACAGAGCACCATGTGTTATCATGGCTGCTCACTCTCACTCTGAGAGAAACTTTTGATAGGAGCATGTTATTGTTAAGTGCCATCGAGCCTGTTCCAACCCATAGCGACCCTGTATAGAGTTTTCGAGGAGCAGCTGGTGAACTTGAACCACTGACCTTGGGGTTCAAACTGACTTTGTAGTTCAACACATTAACACACCAGGATGGGCCTTGCAAAAATGGAAACTAGATATTTACGGAGCTATGAACAAATAAGGGTTGGTGGCCTAGTTCTCCCCTCTCCATTCCCCACTACCTCCACCCTGTGAGACTTCGAGTGTGTTAAGAGAAAACTATTGATCCTTAAATATGGAAAAACATTTGTGTCCCACCTGGTCCTCTGCATCTTCCCATTAGAAATTTGGTCTGTCCATCACTAAATCAAGACACTGAGATAAGTGAAGTCAGCCAGGAGCTATAGGCTTCCACAGTACACCGAGTAAGAAAGGGAAGCATCAGGGTACTAAGTCTCCTCCCCTAACAGTCAGAACTCTCCACAGCCACAGAGCCTATCACATTGCTTTTGTAGAAAATATATTAACACTCATCTTTTACAAACTGTCATTCAGTCTTTACTTTAACTAAGCACTCAAGCTCTCCCCATGTTACAGAATATTTATATCAGTTCACATCTGCCCTGACAAGGCTGTGAAAACACAGGCCTTCTCATCATGGCATTGAGTCTAAAATATGGCTTCAATTAAGCAACAGCATTTTAATCTCGATTCTACCATTTGCTAGTTGTGTTGTCCTCAACAAATAAACAACTCCATTTCTCTAAGTCTCAATTTCCCTGCCTGTAAAATGGACTACGTAACTGTTCATGAAGTTTTGTGTTGATAAAATGAGGTAAGGTGTGCAGAAGCATTTTGAAGGTTCTGATATATCAGTGCAAAACATTCATATTATTCTCTATTCACTCTGAAGAGTTGCTTTGAGAGCCACCATGTGGGCTAGTGATAACTCACCACATTCCTGTCTACACTTCCTATTTGGACAGACATGTTAGTGTGCACGCCCATATTCCACCAATGTTTTACAGAAAGCCTGACTTGGAAAAAATATGTCTGCAATGTTTGGATAGAATGTGCAGCGTTGGCAGGCCTGACTACTATGAATAATCTAGAGAGCTACATTCATTTTTTATAACATTCCGTCCAGCCTTTTGTGGAAGCTCTGGAAATGCTTGCTAAAGGGGACTGGGCTTCCCTGTGGTAGATTGCTCTTATAATAGGTACTATGAGGTTGATCGATGAACCTAGAAAGCACATCAGCCCTTTTGGGGTGTGTAATCTCCAGCAACATATATCGGTAGACCGTCCATTTAGAGTGACTCAAATTACTTTTCAGGGAATTACCTTCAGTGGGATGGGGTTGCTGACATTTTCTACACATTTTTCTTGTTGCAGGGAAGTTGTCAGAATTGTCACCATCGTTCCCCATTGGTTATCATTAATCATGCTTTTATACCTTGGGGCCCCTGGGCATCTCCTTTACAGCTGCCTTATTCTAAATACTCCTGATGTTTGGTCTTAACTATTGACTAGCAAATGATTTCTTTTGTCTAGATCAGTCCAGTTCAATTACAAGTCTAAAGAAACTAAATTACACCAAGCTCTACCTTCCAATTTCAAATTCTATGCTTATAGTTCTCAACATGTATTTCTTATTCCACACTCATAATGTTGTGATTGCCTTTCCCGCCCTTGGGTGTGGCTTTGAGAAAAATATAAGTGTTCTGACAAAATTTCCACCACTCATTCCCCTGCAAGTCAACTGCTAGAACCCTGCATGAGGGATGCTGGGTCTGTTTTCCTAAAATCATGTTTCCATTTAAGAAGGCACTCAAAGAAAAAAAAATTTTTTCCTCTTAATCTTATTGACTATTATAATTTACTTTGTCAGTAATATCACCATGTAATCAGTTCCTACCCGTGAATGCCTTGGTCCCTATGTGGTACAAATAGTTTGCACTTGGCTACTAGCCTAAAAATCAGTGGTTCAAATGCACCCACAAGCACCATGGAAGGAGGGCTCCCCCAACCCCACCCCACTTGTCTCCAGCAAGAGTCAGTTCCCTACAACTCCTTCCTTGAAGGTCTGACTTCAAATCCCCACTCACCAGATCCACCTTGTCTGTATATCTCAGTGACTTGAACTGACAAATTTAAGTCCTGGTGTGGCACTGTAGGATAAGCATTGGACTCCAAGGTCAGTTTGAACAACAAGGTTAGCAGTTCAAACCCACCAGTGGCTCCTCAGAAACCCTATACGGGGTCACTGTGAGTCAGAACTGACTCTATGGCACTTAACAAGAACAATCTCTTAATAAGGTGGGGTTTTTTTGTTTTATTTTGTTTTTACTGTAAAGTACAATAAGAAATTATGTATGGTGCTATAATAACCACATAACACAGTGGAATTGTCTATGATTTATTTAATACTTCCCTCTCTGTGTGTTTGTTTAATTTTCAGGAGGTCAAGCCTGGTCATAACAACCAAACTCTACTGGGGTGGAAAGTAAGTTACATACTACAAGGAGCAACTTGAAGTTCCTGCTGCCATCCTTCCAGGCTACCTGTGTACATCTAACTTACTAAATTAATTGGCTTGAAGAAAGGGTTTTTGTGTTTGTTTGTTTGTTCATTTATTTTTCTCATGCAATTGAGCTAGAATTCCATTTTAGCAACTTGTGCCCAAAAAATTTTAGTGCAAAGCATATGGTCACTGGTTATTAAGTGATTTATGGAGATTTTCTAATACCAACCTCACACATAGCCCCATTTCCAAAACAGAGTTCAAATTTAGGGTAAAGAAAATAAGCACAAAGCATCACAGAAGAAAAGCTACACAAACCTCTCCAAACTCCGAGATATCTATAGAGTACAAAGATAAAATTATCTTGCCTACCTTCTCGTGCAAGTCTCTGATCATTCTGCAGAGGTCTCTTAGAGTACTGATCAAAAGGACTATCTCATTGGAGAATAACACGAAGTTACCTGCATGAGTCGCCATCAGGACAAATGAAAGATAAGTCCTTTCTTGATGGTAGGGGACACAGAGCTGATTTCACAGGAGGAATCGGCTTCTGATGGGCCTGCTAGTGTTTGAACTGGTAGTTGCATTATTCGGAAGGACTTAGAAGTCCAGCCTTTTTAACAAACATGTAAGAAAGCAGCAATCTATTTTCCATACACTGGAGTGATTGTTGGCACTGCGCTTTTCATGGTAATATCAAAGAATGTTGGAGTCTTAACAGAAACCTTATTTACTTCCCTGTAATTGATGGAGAATGGTTAAGAAAATATAGGAGCAGGGGCAGATTCTTCTTTAGAAACCTTCTAATCAAAATGTGCATATACTTTATGGTTGTTTGTGTGTGTGTTTTTGGACCCACTTAATTGTTGTTTTTGGACCTGTTTATGATAAATATGATGACAGAAAGATCAAATTTAGATTCTTATTCCTAGTGTAGTCTGTAAAAAAAGAAAGAAAGAAACATAGTGCCTGTAAGAAATGTGGATTTGCATTGTGCTTTGATTTCATGGTGCCATTACTTGTCTTTTGCAATGTTCTTGAAACCTTGCTTATAGCTTCAAAATAGACAGGAAATAAAGCAGTCTGTAAAAACCATTATATTGTAGAGTGCTACATGCAATATTACCTAATATAGTTATAAAAGATACAAAGCTACCAAAGGTGAATGATAAACTACTATGTTTTATAAAAGTGGCTGTTCAAGATCATTATGTTGAAGAAATATTTCTCCACTATTTTAAAATGTGTGGTTCATATTTCCTTCTAAGAGGCCAGAACCAATTTGAGAATTGAGAATTGTCTGGGCGGGCATTTGCTTTCCAGAAAACTTGGCTCATCTAATTTTGAAGAAAAGCAGTTTTAAATTTTCTTTGGGGCATCAAAACATAGTTTCAGGTCTGCTCTCTTTCGCAGAAAAAGCTACTAGTAACCTAACAGCAAGCTCACAAATATGAACCACAAGGTTTTATTATTTATTTTGCTAAGGATTGATTAAGAACAAGGTGGGAAGATTGCACCAAGTGTCAAATTACACATGGTTAGGATGTGCATGGCTGAGTAGTTGTTGATGTGAGCTTTGGTGAAATCTTGGTGACAGTTCACAGTTAATTCACCTCCTGGAGTCTCTAAAGAAAAGGAACTTTGTGTGCTGCCTACCAGCCTTCTCTTCTCAACCTCCAGAGGTTCAGAATTTTCCTAGAACAAGGTGTAAAATTAGCAATTCAGTCTATAAGAACGATTATTCTTCTGTATGTTTAGAACAGAGATTTATTTTAAATAATAATAATAAGCACACCCCAGGAAAGTGATTTGCCTCTTTTTCTTGGCAGAGCTGAAACGGAAAGAGGGTTGTCAAGAAAACATATTATCGAAGGTGGGTACTGCTGCTTCCATTTGTAAATTGCTGATTCAAGAAAGGTTTCAACTAAATAGATTCAAAGCACATTGGAAGGGAGAAGAAAAACATATAAAAAGAATCACAATCGGCCAAGTTTCTCCCTGAAGTTGAGTGTCGAAGTGGTTGAGAATTGTAGAGGGAGACTGGGAATTCAAAAGAGAAAGTCCAAACGGCCTAGACCTCTTCTCATTTGCAGCTACTACGAACATTAATAAATCATTACTATATGATATTATCAAGGAGCTCTGGTAGCGTAGTGGTTACGAATTGGGCTGTGAACCTTAAGGTCAGCAGTTTGAAACTACCAGCCGCTCCGTGGGAGAAAGATAAGGCTTTCTGCTCCCATTAAGATTTACAGCCTCAAAACCTTGTACAGGGTCGCTATGGGTCGGAACCGACTCGATGGCACTTAACAACAACAACAACATATGCTGTTATCAAGGAACTTTATTGACATTTAATTCATATACTATAAAATTCACCCATTTAGTATACAATTTATTGGTTGAGTATATCTACCAACTTTTGCAATCATTGCCATAATCTAATTTCAAAAGATTTTTATCACCCCTAAAGGAGAGTTTTCATTGTTCTTATTACTGTAACAACTAGTCCTTGTTCTATGGCCAAGGGTACTCTCTACCAAGGAAGTAGCTCTCTGAAGTTGCCACAATAAATGAAAACATTGTAACATCAAAGGAAGCTCATAAACTCCTTACCTAAACAGAATCTCTTCTTAGGCCCTAGGGTTCCATTTGGCATTATAAAATCGAGCCCAGCCTACCTCTTAGTTCGTAGTACTTAGCAGTTGTCTCCATAACTTGTGTCGTATACCACTGAGTTTATCAGTGAGAAATGACCCAAATCTGCCTGTACTATCAAGTGAATGGACAAGACAGCAGTGTGCTGCCTCAAAAGTTATTGTTTTGCTTTGCTTTGCTTTTGTCTCTTGTTAAGAATCTAGTTGATTAGAAGGAGAGTCAGAAAATGATTCACACTGGCAATCCCCAAAGAAATATGAAATTGAAGAGAAAGAGAATGAAGAAGATCTGCTACTATGCTCTTCACGAGTTGCCATTATTTTAATATTGGCCAGTATGTGTGCATAATTTTGGAATTCTCTCTTTTTAAAATCCTCTGGAATCCATTTCCTTTAGGCCTCATACAACTCAACAGGAATACCTTAAATTCCTTCTCCTTTTAAATCAGTCAGAGAAACTAATCTCTCAGGCTGGATAAACCAGTCCAGCTGAAATTCAAGCTAACCCAGTTTCAACCGCTAACATAAAAATTTTAAACTTTTGAGCTTGAAGAATTACAGTAATTTTTTATGTTGTTGTTATTCTTATCCCTGTTAGTATTGTTATATTGCAATTCATCATTTAAACCAAAGGTAAGAGCTCAGGACATTTCTCAGCAGGCTAAAATTAGGAAATTAGGAAAATGTTACAGAAAGGCAAGAACGTTAAGATTTCTAGACCCAAAATAAAGTTTGAAGAGATTTCCAAATTATTATCCTCAGATTTTGTGCTGAGATGAAGGTGATCTCGTCCAACATTGCCAATCCATATACACATTAAATTTGAAAAGCACCATGAGAAAAGGACAGAAGTCCAATTCATGTAGAGTTCTAGACTCTTGTATACTCGGTGGCCCTGGCCATCTGACTAAGTTTGTTGTTTATTGTTAAGTGCCCCGAGTCAGCTCCAACTCATAGCGACCCTGCATAGCATTTCCAAGGTTATAAATCTTTACGGGAGTTTACATAGCAATATCAATGGGTTCAAGTGTGGCAGCAATTGTGAGGTTGGCCCAGGATCGGGCAGTGTTTTGTTCTGTAGTACATAAGATTGCGGTAAGTAGGTACTGACTCCATGACTCCTAACCACAACAACAACATTGTATAAAATGAATTTGACTTGAGCATAATGATTTTTGTTTTAATTTCACATAAAAGGCCTTTTCAATGAACCTAATGTCTTTGATTTAGATCCAGTTACATACATTATTCTTAGATTTACAAGTAACAAACCTTCATGAGTTGGACCTACTGGATGATGGCCCTTAACAACAACAATAGTTTTATTACTTCCATTTAGAATCCCAAGATCCTTGCAAGCTCTAAAATTCTACTTATTCATTCAACCACTCCACAAATATTTATTAAGCCCCAATTTGTGCCACTCTTAGAATTTAGAGGGTTAAATTCTTTATTGTCTAACATAAAGGGCTAGAAATACTTTGACAAGTTAAAGTACAAGAATAAGTAAATTGTTTAGTTTGTGTGCTTTTATAGTCAAATGCCCTTGTCTAAGTCTTCATTTGCCTGTCAGGTAAACAACAGCTCTGTTACATGATTCCAAACACAAACTCACTGTCATTATTTTAGGAGCAGGAATAGCAAATTATCCAAGTAAACTCTGCTTGAGACTTTTTAATGAATTACAAATGTTCTAAACCCTACTATTTGAACTTGTGGTTTTTTTAAAAAAGATAATTCATGATTTTTTCAATTAAAGGATACTTTTTTCTCTCTCTCACTAAATGACTTCAGCACAGGATTTCTTTCCAGAGTACCATGTTCATCCATCCAGGATGACCATAGATCATACAGGGACATGCAGTTACATATTTTATACAAGGAAACAGATGTGTCTTAAACTATGACTAAGAGCATCTACTAAAAAGAAACTTAGAAAATTACACAGGACAACAGTGTACATTATTAAGGTCAAAACATTTTTCAAGTTAGATATTAAAGCAAATCTGCAGTCATTATGAAAGATGACAGTATAGCATATTTCAATAATTTCCAAACTACTGATTTACTTGTTTCTAAACAGGTGAACCAACAACACTGAACACTTGATCCATATCTAGCAACACCAAACAGCCCAAATGTCTGAAATAAACTTACTTCTTTAGCATGCTATAAAATAGGCTTAAGTTGGATTAATGTCTGCTCTCTAAACAATACAGTTCCTGTTCAACTTCAGAATCTAAAAGAAAAATAAACTTAGATTTCATTTTACTATAGCCACCTAAAAGCTGTTTAAAGATATGTTAAAGATAACATAATTTGTTATCTCTTTAATAATATTAAATTTCTAGTAAGCTTCTAGAGATCTAATCACAGGGTAGGGAGAATTTCTCCTACTTCCCCTGTATTCACCTCTCACAGGGGCTGGCTGAGTGTCAAGGGACAGGCCAAGATCAAGAGTGCCTTCAGCAATGGCATGTAGCTGCGCTGGAACACTTAACCTCATTAGGTTTTGATTCGCTGCCCACTGCCTCTCTACAAACAGGGTTAATGCATTTTTCCATGTCTACTTACACTTAAAACAATACCTGGCCCCTAGCCAGTGCTCAACAAGCATTTCCTAAATGGAGATCGAACATAACTGTTTATTGGATATAAAGCCTAAATGGTTCTCAAAGAAACATTTGTTGAGCATGCCTTTATATTGCTATGATTTAGCTATTTCTACCTGATTAAATCTGCTGCACAAGACCTTTTTAAAGTGTTGAAGAGCAAAGATGTCAGCTTGAAGACTAAGGTGTGCCTGACCCAAGCCATGGTATTTGCAATAACCTCATATGCATGTGAAAGCTGGACAGTGATAAGGAAGACCTTAGAAGAATTGATACTTTTGAGTTATGGTGTTGGAGGAGAATATTTAAAGTGCCATGGGCTGCCGAAAGAACAAACACATCTGTTTTGGAAGAAGTACAGCCAGAGTGCTCCTTGGAGGCCAGGATGGCCAAACTTCGTCTCTCATACTTCAGACATAATGTCAGGAGGGCGAAGGATGGCATATTTGGTAGGGTGGAGGGTCAGAGAAAAAGAGGAAGACCCCCAGCGAGATGGATTGGCCAAGTGACAGCATCAGTGGGCTCAAGCGTGGCAGCAATAGTGAGGCTAGCCCAGGATCAGGCAGTGTTTTTTTCTGCTGTGCTTAAGGTCGCTATGAGTCAGTACCGACTTGATCACACCTTATAACAACAAAAACCTGATTAAAGGGAGTCCTGGTGTGGCTCTGTAGGAAAAATATTAGACTGCTAACCTCAAGATCAGCATTGGAATCCATCAGCTGCTCCTTGGAAACCCTATAGAGGGTGGCTATGAGTCAGAATAGACTGGATGGCAGTGAGTTATCCCAAATCCTATGCCTCACCTACATATAGACTATACTCTGAATGCCAAACTGATCCCTCTAACTGCCAAGAGCTCAATGAAGCTGACTGGCATGCTGCTTGAACTTATCATGGCCAAAAGAGAACTCTTCACAGGCCTGCTGTCACCACTGCCATCAATCTGTGTTTCCTTCTTCCCCCGTTAGAGTCCTTTATTTCTCAGGCCCAAAACCTAAGAACCAAACACCAAACTCATTGCCATCCAGTTGACTGACTCACAGTGACCCTATAAAGACAGAGTAATGTTGTTCTTGCCTTTCTTCCATGGTGCAGCTGGTGGGTTTGAACCACCGACCTTTCAGTTAGCATCCCACTGCAACATCATGGTTCCTTTTTAAAAATCTATGTGTCATCTTTTATTTCTGTCACTCAAACACCCTATGTGAAGTGCAGCAGCAATTCCTCTGTCGCTATTTGCACTTTCCCTAACATCAGTTCAAAAGGGAACTCTGATGTCATCCACCTGCTTTATCCCCCCCCACACACCAATATTTGTTAATATTATGTATAATAAAACCCAAAATCTCTACCATGGATCATTGTTGGTGGTAGCTGCCATTGAGTCAGTTCCAACTCATATCAAATCATTGACCTTGTGGCAAGTGGTATAATGCTTATCCTATAGTGTTACCATGAATTACAATACTTTATATGATTGAGATTTTCAAACTGGATGTGCCTCTTCAGTCCTCAGTCTCCATTTACTCAACTTCAGAGTCACAGTAGAGACCAGGTGGATCACTGGCCTCATGCAATACTCATGTCTTATTCTCATGTGAGTACACTTGAATCTCTGAATACCAAGAAAGAGTATAACCCTGTGTTCAGTGAATCAATACCAATGATACTATAAGCATGCATGTTTGCTCCATGGGGATAAATCCTTCTATCTTACAAACTAAATACATGAAAGAGTTTGTTGCATGAAAGAGTCAAGCCTTAAGTCATAACTAGTCTGTGAAAAGTCTATTTGTGCAGCATTACTGCATACTGAATTAGCTCTAGCTGCTTCTCCTAGTTACCCTCAGCCCACAGGGAGCTGTTTGGAAGAAACACAGTGGCAGAGGGGCCATCATTAGAAAGGCGGACACTTGTTTCCAGTGCCAGGCGTGCAGGCCAGGTGTTGTTGTTAGTTGCCATAGAGTTGGCTCAAATTCATGTTTCATTCAGCAGAATGAAACATTGCCCATTCTTCCACAGTGGATCAGAACTATCATTAAAAGCTCCCTCCAAAACCAGGGAATTGGGTGAAAATCTTTGGTACTCAGTCTTTGGCACCTCTTACTCTGAATCTTTAGAAGTCCTGGAGGGACAGTAGGTTATACATTGGGTTGCTAACCACAAGGTCATCAGTTTGAATCCATAAGCCACTCCTCAAAAGAAAGAAGAGGCTTTCTGCTCCCATAAAGATTTTCAGCCTCAGAAACCCTATACAGGGTCTCTATGAGTCAGAACCGACTCCACAGCACACACCATGATCACCCCACCATTCTGAACATTTCTATGACAGTGTGAACACAATTGTTATAATTACCATAAAATTTCTATTGACTATTGTGCTTACAAAGTGTTTGGCAACTAATTTTACTTGCTCTCTGAAGCAATGATTCTGAAGGTGGTATGTTTTGTCATCCCCACTGCAGATCCAAAAACTGAGTCACCAAAAAATTTTAAAAAGTAAAAGGTCAAATAACTCAAGTGCAATCACACACAGCATATTAGGGTAGAGATCTCCAACCTTTAAACCTTGATGTTGTTGTCGAGTCGATTCCGACCCATAGCGATCCTGTATAGGGTTTCCAAAGAGCTGCTGGTGAGCTTGAACCACCAACCTTGCATTAGCCCACAGCACCACACCAGGACTCCTTAAACTTTGTGGTACCCTATTAGTTGCTTGGCGATCCTGATCTTCCTTTCCTACTTCCTCCTTAGGAAAGTTACTTCCCCCAAAAGTGGCTCATATCATAACATTTTATAAGGTAAATTTAATACCAAACTGCCCCTTGAGATAGATAAATGGTAATACAGCAAGCCTCAAAGTCACCGCAGTTTTGTAAGAACAGGCATTATACCTTATAACACCTGTCTTCTCTCATCTCTTTATCGATGCTTCTTTTAACAAGCTACCACCACTGATAATCCTTTCTCAATGAATGAAAAATATTTCCGGAACTATATTCAAGCACTCCATTTTCCTGTCAGAAAAGTAATTGTGGCTGGCCTATAAGTCAGTTTGAAATTTAAATTTATAACAGCCTCATTTAACATGCAATTAACTTTATGCATATAATAAGAAAAGAAAAAGCTCTGGTCTTTCTGAGGAATTAAACAGCCTGATAAGGAAGGGCTGTGCCTCATGAAAATGAGAGAAAATGATTCTTGAATACTGTCATCCTTTTGGTTGCATAAGATCACATACAATACATTCTATTTCAGGAAAGTATTAATTTTAGTAAAATTAATTAATTCTGATGTTGCACAGAAAAGGAACCAATTGATGGTTGAAACAGATTTTCGGTACAAGATTTTTTTAAGGTCTCACTGTCTTCTTCTAGATTCCACCTCTTAAGTTTCAATAGCATCTACTGTCCTTGTTTCTTCTCAAGCATGTGGAGACTAAGAAATGGTAGCACTTAGCTCTATTTGTGATTCTTCAAACTTTGCTGCAATTAGTAAAATTCTGAGTAAAGTCTTCATTTGTCAATTCTTTCCCATTGCTTTTAAAACATATATGTACAACATGAGGGAGTTAAGGCAATTGTTTATTTGCGATGTATGCTATTCTAATGAGTTTAATATGCAATAAATATATCTCCATCCCACTATAAGTCATTAAATAATTTAAAGTAAACATTAATGTGGATTTTTCAAGAGGAAGGAAAATGAATTCTCATAGAGAAGCTGCTTTTTATTCTAAACTCAACTTCAGGATGTGGTTGTTGTTGTTGTTGTTATGTGCCGTGGAGTCAGTTCCGACTCATAGTGACCCTGTACAGGGTTTCTGAGGCTGTAAATCTTTACGGGAGCAGAAAGCCTCATCTTTCTCCCGCGGAACAGATGGTAGTTTCAAACTGCTGACCTTGTGGTTCACAGTCCGATTCCACGTATTAGTCATTGTGAAAGATCACAACTATATATTTCTGGTGCGAGCACTAGTATCATTGAGAAAGTTTGAAGATTTTTCTTTGTTGGAGTAATGTCAACCTTTGACTTCTGAGTACTTTAAAAAAGGTTCAAGGAGCCAATTAGCATCATTGTATTAAATTTTTAAAAAAATTTATCCAATGCCTTTTTTAAAGGGGGAGGTGATTTTTTGAAGGGGCCTAAGCATCAGCTCTTTCTAACAGTTCTCATATTTGCACTTTTTGGGTTTTTCCTGTGACTTCCCAGGATTGAAGGGCTCCCTCCAGAGGTTGCAGCTTGAGTATGTGGATGTTGTCTTTGCAAATCGACCAGACAGTAACACCCCCATGGAAGGTGAGTGATGAAATGTATTAAAAAAGACTAAAGCTATTGATTCTAGCTAGAGGATTTATTCCACTCACAGTAGGAAAGCAACATATATACTCAGATTGATATGATTGAATATGAAAAATTAAAAACCTTTCTGGTCTTTGTCTTTCGGACTCAATACTTCCCATCAAAGCAAATGCTCAGTGTCCTGCATCTTCCTTATGTTTTTCAGCAGTTGAAAGAATTGGGATCATGGTGTCTGCGGTACAATGCTCACTTTTTCCAGGCTCATTTCACTTTTGTGATTTCAACAGCTAAAACAAAATTAAATTAAGGCAGAGTTTATAGCCCAGTAATTATTAATTCTGGTTAAATCCTCTGAGCATCTACCTGGTTTATCATGACTTCAGGTCTGATTAGTTTTCTATCTGCAGTAACAAGTACTAAGAGGTACCATGAGCAAAGGTTTTACAGGAGTGGCTGCTTCCAAATGAGACTCTCATTGGCAATTTGGTTGTTGATTCTCAAGGATCTGCAGCATTCTGTCACCTTTCTTTTACAACTGAAGACAGCAGTTTCAGCTTCTCTCTGTAGAAACTTTCAAAATGTTCCTTAAACCAGATTTTCTTTAATTTGCATTTATTTGTGAAAGCTGTCTAGGCTGATTGAGAAAGAAGATACTTTGAGAGGACAAGGAGAAAAGAATATTTTAGTTAATGGAGATTTACAATCAGAGGGATTATCACTTGTCTGTGATGATTAAGAATGAGGAGATTAGGGAAGAAAAGGAAAAAGAAATGTTCTGCTTAATTGTCATATGAATGATTACCAAATTTTAAATAATTAAAATACTATAATAAAATGAAATTATAGTGAAGATAATTTAGTCCTTGATTCAAAAGGCAGTTCAGGATCATGTAATAAATCAAAGTCTCTGGAGATTGCTCTTCCTGTCTGGTATTGTATAGTTCTAAAAGGTATAAGGACTGAAGTAGATATGTATCTTTCTGTATGTTGCATTTCTGACAAAAAACATGCTATAGAAAGTATTTTCTGTGTCATTTATCTCTCTCTCTCAAATGCAGAGAAACATTAAAAATCAATACCAAATGTTCTACTTTGGGTTTTCTGCTTTCCCAATTCTGGGTGAATAGAAGTTCACTATGAAGTAGTGAACTGTGGTGGCATGTTAGTTGCTGTGATTCTGTAAGCTACACCGCCAGTATTTAAAATACCAACAGGGTCACCCATGGTGGACAGGTTTCAGATGAACTTCCAGACAAAGACAGACTAGGAAGAAGGAGTGATGAACTACTTCTGAATATTTAGTCACTGAAACCTTGTGAATAGCAGAGAAATATTGTCAGATATAGTGCCAGAAAATGAACCCCTCAGGTTGGAAAGCACTCAAAATGCCACTGGGGAAGAGCTGCCTCCTCAAAGCAGAGTTGACCATGATGACACCAATGGAGTAAAGCCCATGGGAGAAAAGCCCACAGGGCCTTCATTGCTGATGGGCACAACTCAAAATAAAGAGAAACATCTGTAAACATCCATTGAAAATTGAAATATGGAATGTACAAAGTATGAATCTGGGAAAATTGGAAGTTGTCAAAAATGAAATGGAACACATAAACATCGATATCCTAGGCATTAGTAAGCGGAAATGGACTGGTACTGGCCATTTTGAATCTGATGACCACATGATTTACTATGCCAGAAATGACAAATTGAAGAGGAATGGTGTTACATTTATTGTCATAAAGAACATATCCAGATCAGTCATAAGGTACAACGCTGTTTGTGGTAGGATAATATCCTTGCGCCTACAGGCAAGCCAAGTTAATACCACCATTATTCAAATTTACGCACCAACCAGTAAAAGCAGTGAGGATGAAATAGAAGAATTCTACCAACTTCTTCAATCTGAAATTGATCAAACATGCAATCAAAATGTATTGATCATTATTGGTGATTGGAATGCAAAGGTAGGGAGCAAAGAAGAAGGATCAGTACTTGGAAAATATGGCCTTGGTTATAGAAATGATGCTGCAGAATGCATGATAGAATTCTGCAAAAATCAAAGATTTGTTCATTTCAAATACCTACTTTAGACAGCAGAAGACACGATTATACACATGGACCTCACCAGATGGATTACATAGAAATCAAATTGACTACATCTGCAGAAATAGACTATGGAAAAGCTCCATATCATCAGTCAAAATAAGGCCAGGGCAGACTGAGAAACAGACCGTCAATTACTCATATGCAAATTCAAACTGAAGCTAAAGAAAATGAAAACAAGTCCAGAAAAGCCAAAATATGACCTTGCATATATACCACCTGAATTTAGAAATCACCTGAAGAACAGATTTGATACACTGAACACTAAAGACCGAAGACCAGAAGAGTTTGTTGTGGGATGACATCAAGAACATCACGCATGAAGAAAGCAAAAAGTCATTAAGAAGACAAAAAAGAAGAAACAGGTCAAAGTGGATGTCAGAAGAGACACTGAAACTTGCTCTCCAGCGTACAGTGCATTGAAAGAATTGGCAAAGAACAAAGCACCAGGAATTGATGGAATAAAAATTGAACTCTTTCAAGAAAGTAAGGCGGCACAGGAGGCACTCACTCATCTATACCAAGAAATTTGGAAGACAACTATCTGGCCAATTGATTGGAAGAGATCCATATTTGTGCCCATTCCAAAGAGAGGTGACCCAACCATCAGACAATATCTTTGATATCCCATGAGAGTGAAGTTTTACTAAAGGTAATACAGAAACGGCTGCAAGCATACATTGACAGAGAACTTTCAGAGGTTCAAGCTGGATTCAGAAAAGGCCGTGCAACAAGGGATATCATTGCTGATGTCTAATGGATCTTGGCTGAAAGAAGAGAATATCACAAAAAGATGTTTACCTGTGCTTTCTTGACTATGCAATGGTTTTCGATTGTGTGGATCATAACAAGCTATGGACAACATTGTGGAGTATGAGTATTCCGGAACACTTAATTGTGCTCATGAGGAATATGTACCTGGACCAACAGGCAATTGTTCGAACAGAACATGGGAACACTGAATGTTTTAAAATTAAGAAAGGTGTGCAACAGGGTTGTATTCTTTTACCATACTTATTCAACCTGTATACTGAGCAAATCATCCAAGATGCTGGGTTATATGAAGAAAAAGGTGACATCAGGATTGGAGGAAGACTCATTAACAACTAGCGATATGCAGATGATACAACCTTGCTTGCTGAAAGTGAAGATGACTTAAAACATTTACTGATGAAGATCAAAGAGCACAGCCTTTGGTATGGATTACATCTCAATGTAAAGAAAACAAAAATCTCACCACTAGACCAATAAACAACATCCTTATTAATGGAGAAAAGATTGAAGTTGTCAAGGACTTCATTCTTCTTGGATCAACTATGAACACTCATTGAAGCAGCAGTCAAGAAATCAAACAACGTATTGCATTAGGTAAATCTGCTGCATAAGACCTTTTTAAAGTGTTGAAGAGCAAAGATGTCAGCTTGAGGACTAAGGTGCGCCTGACCCAAGCATGGTATTTTCAATAACCTCATATGCATGTGAAAGCTGGACAGTGAATAAGGAAGACCGTAGAAGAATTGATGCTGTTGAGTTATGGTATTGGAGAATATTGAAAGTGCCATGGGCTGCCAAAAGAACCAATAGATCCATTTTGGAAGAAGTACAGCCAAGAGTGCTCCTTGGAAGCCAAGATGGCCAAACTTCGTCTCTCATACTTTGGACATATTGTCAGAAGGGACCAGTCACTGGAGAAGGATATCATGTTATGTAAGGTGGAGGGTCAGAGAAAAAGAGGAAGACCCCCCAATGAGATGGATTGACCAAGTGGCAGCATCGATGGACCCAGTAGTGAGGTTGGCCCAGGATCAGGCCGTGTTTCAGTCTGCTGCACATAGGGTTGCTATGAATCGGTACCAACTCGATGGTACCTACAACAACAACAACATGAAGTAGCTTCAGTATGAAAGATTCATAATAACTGATCATCCATGGACCTGACATAAAGATATTTTTTTTTAAGTAAAGATTATGTATTTGATAAGGCAAACCATAAAAATTGTAGTAATACATACAATATTTGTTGCAAGGATAATAAGATGTCACACTATTCCTAGTGGCACATTGAAACACAGCACTAAATTTATTAAGTCAGTGAAAGTGTCAAAATCAATGTGGTTTAATGGGGACTATGAAAGTTTGGGGTTGCTTAGCATTTTAAATGCCTAGTGACTGCCTTCTTGTTTGAAACAGTATTCTTTACAAATATATATATATAAAGTTTTATTGTGAATTGAGTGATAGTTTATATGGGAGAATATCAGTTTTACACTCATCGTTTCATTGCAATGATTACGGTCTCCTCCGTGCATCATCATTCAACAGTATATGCTTCTAGTCCCTCGGTTTATTTTGTGATGTACACAAAAACACTCAGGAATATAAAATCATTTAAACAACCAAAGGGCACATTCTGCAAGACTGCCTCGTCAGCACACAATCTTTCTCTTCCCATGAGTCTAGAGTCCTCAGCTGCTTTATCTCTCCATGCCTTCATCTCTGACTCCATCTCTGGTGTTGCTGTTTCTTTGGATAGGGTCCCACATTCCACTCCGTGCTCTTCTCCCTTGATGGTCCTAGTATCCTTTGTTCCTGGATTGTAAGATTAACTACTCCTCCCTTTTTGTTATAAAACTTCTAGCATTATAGTTGTGATAGTCACAATTAGTCATGATAACAATTACTCACTATTTAATCATAAGAATCTTATCCCCATCTCCTTTCACTAGACCCATCTAGACAATAAAAACTATTCAATGGGGATTCTACCTTCCCCACACACCCTGAAACTATTTGAAAACTTGTGAGCCAGTCATTTTGTGCCTTTATAGCCCCCTCATTTTAGGTAGCCAATGTCTAATGTGTCTGTCCCTATCAATGCTGTATACAGCAGGGATAGG